AACAAAAACGAGTTTTGAAGGGCCATCCCCGCCGTAACTCGAGAATATACCACAGGTCCATGCCGCAACTCGAGAAAAACCAGCAGACTTCCAACTCGAAGCGAGATGAGGCCCAATTACCCTGCATTCCATGCAGAGCAATTCCGTGATCCCCATCAAATATGTAAGGAGCCTCAAATTGCTTGATGGATCTTGAGACAGTCCCCAAGAAAACTGTCACAAGTCTAGAGGAACGCTGAGGACACCCCAGCATCGAGAAGTAGCTCCATGTTCCCAAAATCAACTTGAGATGAGGCCTGATTCCCCTGCATGGACTCCAGAGCCATCCCCCGGTCCCCATCAAACACGACCAGTGGCTTGGCTTCCTTTAGGCACCTCCAGAGATATCCCGAGAACACCGTTCCGTGTCTAGAGGAACACCAAGTTTAGCAGAGCAATTCGAAGAAGATGCCGAGTACCATATATCGACTCGAGATGAGAGCTGATTCCCTGGCTTAGACTCAAGACTTATGCCAACTTTCCACAGGCACCTCAAGAGGAGGCTTCTCTCAGCAATAGTGAAATGGGAGGGACCCTGAGTATGCTGCCTCAAGTGGAATATGCACCGAGAAGCCCTGACTCGAAAGGAGGCCGGATTTCCTTGCAGTGGCTTGAACACCGGCTCGTCTTTCATCGCAAAAGTTGAAGGGATGTCTGAATCCCCTGTGCAGACCCTAGAGTAAGCCCTAGGTCCCGCCTCATTTCCATGGAATGCCTCACATCCCTTTGACACCTTGAGAGGCCGGCAGAGATCACTGCTTCAAAGTTGACGATACCTGACTCCTCTTGAACATTGATAGGAATCCCAATATCCCTGCGGTATAGGAAAGGGACTGTGGGTCTCCCGTCACACCACAAGAAGCGTCTGTTTTGCCCTGCCAAGCCTCGAAGAGATTGCAGAGGTGTCCCTCGTAACGATATAGGAGTCCAAATATCGATGTACAAACACGAGTTTTAAAGGGCCATCCCCGCCGTAACTTGAGAATATACCGCAGGTCCCCGCCTCAACACGAGAAAAACCGTGAGACGTCAACCTCGAAGCGAGATGTGGCCCAATTCCCCTCCATTGCATGCCGAGCAATTCCGTGATCCCCATCAAACATGTAAGGAGCCTCGACTTGCTTGATGGATCTCGAGACAGTCCCCAAGAACACTGTCACAAATCTCGAGGGACCCTGAGGTCACCCCAGCAATGCGAAGGAGTTCCATGTACCCAAAATCAACTCGAGATGAGTCCCAATTCCCCTGCATTGACCTCGGAGCCATCCCCCATTCCACATCAAACACGACCAGTGGCTTGAATTCCTTTAGGGAACTCCAGAGATTCCCCGAGAACACCGTCCGAATTCGAGAGGAACACCAAGTTCAGCACGGCAACTCGAGGAATGGTCCGTGTACACCAAATCGTCTCCAGATCAGAGCTGATTCCCTGCTTTAGACTCAAGACGTATGGCAACTTTATGCAATCATCTCAAGAGGAGGCTTCTCTCAGCAATAGGTATGTAGAAGGGACGCTGAGATTGCTGCCTCAATTGGAATAGGCAGGAAGAAGCTCTGACTCGAAAGGAGGCTGGATTTCCTTGCAGTGGCTTGAATATAGGCTTGTCTTTCATCTGACAAGATGAAGGGATGTCTGAATCCCCTGTGGAGACCCATGAGAAACCCTAGGTCCCCGCCTCATTTTGGCAGGATGCCTCACATCGCTTTGACACCTCGAGAAGCACGCGGAGATCACTGCTTCAAAAGGTGACGGTACCTGATTCTTCTTGAATATTGATAGGAATCCCAATAACCCTGTAGCTACAGGAAATGGACTGTGGGTCTCCCGTCGCACCACAAGAAGCGTCTGTTTTGCCCTGCCAAGCCTCAAAGATATTGCAGAGGTGTCCCTCGTAACGATATAGGAGTTCAAATATCGATGTACAAACACGAGTTTTAAGGGGCCATCACCACCGTAACTTGAGAATATACCACAGGTCCCGGCCGCAACACGAGAAAAACCATGAGACGTCAAACTCGAAGTGAGATGTGGCCCGATTCCCCTCCATTGCCTGCAGAGCAATTCCGTGATCCCCATCAAACATGTAAGGAGCCTCGATTTGCTTGATGGATCTCAAGACAGTCCCCAAGAACACTGTCACAAATCTCGAGGGACCCTGAGGTCACCCCAGCAATGCGAAGGAGCTCCATGTACCTAAAAACAACTCGAGATGAGTCCCAATTCCCCTGCATTGACCTCAGAGTCATCCCCCATTCCACATCAAACACGACCAGTGGCTTGAATTCCTTTAGGGAACTCCAGAGTTTCCCCGAGAACACCCTCCGAATTCTAGAGGAACACCAAGTTCAGCACGGTAACTCATGGAATGGTCCGTGTATATCAAATCGTCTACAGATCAGACCTGACTCCCTGCTTTAGACTCAAGACGTATGTCAACTTTCCACAATCATCTCACGAGGTGGCTTCTCTCAGCAATAGGTATGTAGGCGGGACGCTGAGATTGCTGCCTCAAGTGGAATAGGCAGCAAGAAGCTCTGACTCGAATGGAGGCCGGATTTCCTTGCAGTGGCTTGAATATAGGCTTGTCTTTCATCTGACAAGATGAAGGGATGTCTGAATTCCCTGTGGAGACCCTAGAGAAAGCCCTAGATCCCCGCCTCATTTCGACAGGAGGCCTCACAGCGCTTTGACCCCTCGAGAGGCATGTCGTGTTCACTGCTTCCAAAGGTGACCATGCCTGACTCCTCTTGAACATTGATACGAATCCCAATATCCTTGTAGCTACTGGAAAGGGACCCTGGGTATCCCACCTCACCTCGAGAAGCGTCCCTTTTGCCCTGCCATGCCTCAAATAGATTCCTGAGGTGTCCCTCGCAACTAGACAGGAATCCTGACGTCGCTGAACAAACACGAGTTTTGAATGGCCATCCCTGCCATAACTCTAAAATACACCCCAGGTCCCTGCCGCAACTCGAGAAAAACCATCAGACTTTACCCTCGAAGGGAGATGAGGCCAGATTCCCCTGCATTGCAAGCAGCTCAATTCCGTGATCGCCATCAAACATGTAAGGAGCCTCGACTAGCTTGATGTATCTCTACACAGTCTGCAAGAACACTGTCACAAGCCTAGAGGCACACTGAGGTCACCCCAGCAACGTGAAGAAATTCCATGAACCCCAAATCAACTTGACATGCGGCCTGATTCCCCTGCATTTACTACAGGGCCATCCCCCTTTCCCCACCAAAAAATACCACTTTCTTGACTTCCTTTAGGCAACTCCAGAGATTCCCCGAGGACCCCGTCCCAACTCTAAAGGAACACCAAGTGCAGCACAGCAACTTGAGGAATGCTCCGTGTACCCCAAATCATCTCGAGATGAGAGCTGATTCCCTGGCTTAGACTCAAGACATATGCCAAATTTGCACAAGCACCTCAAGATGTGGCTATTATCAGCAATAGTTAAGTGGGTGGGACCCTGAGTTTGCTGCCTCAAGTGGAATATACACCGAGAGACCCTGACTCGAAAGCAGGCCGGATTTCCTTTCAGTGCCTTGAATACAGTCTCGGCATTCATCTCCCAAGGTGAAGGGAAGTCTTAATCCCCGGTGGAGACCCTTGAAAAAGCCTTAGGACCCCGCCTCATTTCGATGGAATGCCTCACATCCCTTTGACACCTCGAGAGGCACGCGGAGTTCACAGCTTCAGAAATAGACGATGCCTGACTCCTGTTGAACATTGATAGGAATCCGAATATCTCTGTGGCGACTGGAATGGGACCCTGGGTCTACCGCCTCACCTAAAGAAGCGTTCCTTTTGCTGTGCCAAGCCTCGAAGATATTCCTGAGGTGTCCCTGGAAACTAGACAGGAGTCTTATGTCGCTGATAAACAAGAGTTTTGAAGGGCCATCCTCGCCGTAACCCGAGAATGTACTGCAGGTCCCTGCCGCAACTCGAGAAAAACCATGACACTTCCCCCTCGAAGCGAGATGAGGCCCAATAACCCTGCATTGCACGCAGAGCATTTCCGTGATTCCATCAAACATGTAAAGAGCCTCGACTTACTTGTTGGATCTTGACACAGTCCCCCGAAACACTGTCACAAGTCTAGAGGGGCCTGAGGTCCCCCCAGCAACGCGAAGGAGCACCATGTACCCCAAATCAACTAGAAATGAGGCCCGATTAACCTGCATTGACTCCAGAGACATCCCCCGTTCCCCATCAAAGACAACCATTGGCTTGACTTCCCTTTGGTAACTCCAGACATTCCCCAAGAACACCGTCCCAAGTCTAGAGGAACACCATGTTCAGCACAGCAACTCGAGGAATACTCCGGGTACCACAAATCGTCTCGAGATGAGAGCTGATTCCCTGGCTTAGACACAAGACGTATGCCAACTTTCCACAAGCACCTCAAAAAGAGGCTTCTCTCAACTCTAGGTAAGTGGGAGGGACCCTGATTTTCCTGCCTCAAGTGGAATATACGAGAAGCCGTGACTCGAAAGGAGGCCGGATTTCTTTGCCATGGCTTGAATACAGGCTCGCCTTTCATCTCAGAAGATAAAGGGATGTCTGAATCCCCGGTGGAGACCCGAGAGAAAGACCTGGAGACCCGAGAGAAAGACCTAGGTCCCCGCCACATTTTAACATAATGCCTGACATACCTTTGACACCTCGAGAGGCACGCGGAGTACACCGCTTAATAAGGTGACAATGCCTGACTCCTTTTGTACATTAATAGGAATACGAATATCCCTGTGGCTCCTGGAAAGGGGCCCTGGGTCTCCCGCCTCACCTCGAGAAGCGTCCCTTTTGCCCTGCCAAGCCTCGAGGAGATTACTGAGGTGTCCCTTGTAACTAGACAGGAGTCCTGACGTCGGTGACAAAACTCTAGTTTTGAAGGGACATAACCGCCGAAACTCGAGAATATACCCCAGGTCCCGGCCGCAACGCGAGAAAACCATGAGACCTCCCCCTCGAAGCGAGATGCGGGACGATTCCCCTACATTGCATGCAGAGCAGTTCCGTGACCCCCATCAAATATGTAAGGAGCCTCGACTTGCTTGATGGATTTCGAGAGAGTCCCGAAGAACACTGTCACAAGTCTAGAGCGACCCTGACGTCACCCAAGCAACGGGAAGGAGCTCCATGTACCCCAAATCAACACGAAATGAGGTCCGATTTCCCTGTATTGACTCCAGAGCCATCCCCCGTTCCCCATCAAACACGATCAGTGACTTGACTTCCCTCAGGCAACTCCAAAGATTCCCCGAGAAAAACGTCACAAGTCTAGAGGAACACCAAGTTCAGCACAACAACTCGAGGAATGCTCCGAGTACCCCACGTCGTCTCCACATGAGAGCTGATTCCATGGCTAAGACTCAAGACATATGCCAACTTTCCACAAGAACTCAAGGGGAGGCTTCTCTCAGCAATATGTATGTGGGAGAGACCCTGAGTTTGCTGCCTCAAGTGGAATATACACCGGGAAGCCCTGACTCGAAAGGAGGCCGGATTTCCTTGCAGTGGATTGAAAACAGGCTCGTCTTTCATCTCACAAGATGAAGCGATGTGTGAGTCCCCCGTGGAGACCCTAGAGAAAGCCCAAGGTCCCCTCCTCATTGCGACGGAATGCCTCATATCTCTTTGACACCTCGAGAGGCAGCGGATTTCACTGCTACAGAAGGTGACGATGCCTGACTAGTCTTGAACATTGATAGGAATAACAATATCCCCGTGGCTGCTGGAAAGGGACCCTGGGTCTCCCGCTTCACATTGAGAAGAGTTCCATTTGCGCTGCCAAGCCTCGAAGAGATTTCTGACTTGTCCCTCGTAAATAGACAGGAGTCCTGACGATGCTGAACAAAAACGAGTTTTGAAGGGCCATCCCCGCCGTAACTCGAGAATATACCACAGGTCCATGCCGCAACTCGAGAAAAACCAGCAGACTTCCAACTCGAAGCGAGATGAGGCCCAATTACCCTGCATTCCATGCAGAGCAATTCCGTGATCCCCATCAAATATGTAAGGAGCCTCAAATTGCTTGATGGATCTTGAGACAGTCCCCAAGAAAACTGTCACAAGTCTAGAGGAACGCTGAGGACACCCCAGCATCGAGAAGTAGCTCCATGTTCCCAAAATCAACTTGAGATGAGGCCTGATTCCACTGCATGGACTCCAGAGCCATCCCCCGGTCCCCATCAAACACGACCAGTGGCTTGACTTCCTTTAGGCAACTCCAGAGATACCCCGAGAACACCGTTCCGTGTCTAGAGGAACACCAAGTTTAGCAGAGCAATTCGAAGAAGATGCCGAGTACCATATATCGACTCGAGATGAGAGCTGATTCCCTGGCTTAGACTCAAGACTTATGCCATCTTTCCACAGGCACCTCAAGAGGAGGCTTCTCTCAGCAATAGTTAAATGGGAGGGACCCTGAGTATGCTGCCTCAAGTGGAATATGCACCGAGAAGCCCTGACTCGAAAGGAGGCTGGATTTCCTTGCAGTGGCTTGAATACCGGCTCGTCTTTCATCGCAAAAGTTGAAGGGATGTCTGAATCCCCTGTGCAGACCCTAGAGTAAGCCCTAGGTCCCGCCTCATTTCCATGGAATGCCTCACATCCCTTTGACACCTCGAGAGGCCCGCAGAGATCACTGCTTCAAAGTTGACGATATCTGACACGTCTTGAACATTGATAGGAATCCCAATATCCCTGTGGCTATAGGAAAGGGACTGTGGGTCTCCCGTCGCACGACAAGAAGCGTCTGTTTTGCCCTGCCAAGCCTCGAAGAGATTGCAGAGGTGTCCCTCGTAACGATATAGGCGTCCAAATATCGATGTACAAACACGAGTTTTAAGGGGCCATCACCGCCGTAACTTGAGAATATACCGCAGGTCCCCGCCGCAACACGAGAAAAACCATGAGACGTCAAACTCGAAGTGAGATGTGGCCCGATTCCCCTCCATTGCATGCAGAGCAATTCCGTGATCCCCATCAAACATGTAAGGAGCCTCGATTTGCTTCATGGATCTCAAGACAGTCCCCAAGAACACTGTCACAAATCTCGAGGGACCCTGAGGTCACCCCAGCAATGCGAAGGAGCTCCATGTACCTAAAAACAACTCGAGATGAGTCCCAATTCCCCTGCATTGACCTCGGAGTCATCCCTCATTCCACATCAAACACGACCAGTGGCTTGAATTCCTTTAGGGAACTCCAGAGTTTCCCCGAGAACACCCTCCGAATTCTAGAGGAACACCAAGTTCATCACGGTAACTCAAGGAATGGTCCGTGTATATCAAATCGTCTACAGATCAGACCTGACTCCCTGCTTTAGACTCAAGACGTATGTCAACTTTCCACAATCATCTCAAGAGGTGGCTTCTCTCAGCAATAGGTATGTAGGAGGGACGCTGAGATTGCTGCCTCAAGTGGAATAGGCAGCAAGAAGCTCTGACAAGAATGGAGGCCGGATTTCCTTGCAGTGGCTTGAATATAGGCTTGTCTTTCATCTGACAAGATGAAGGGATGTCTGAATTCCCTGTGGAGACCCTAGAGAAAGCCCTAGATCCCCGCCTCATTTCGACAGGAGGCCTCACAGCGCTTTGACCCCTCGAGAGGCATGTGGTGTTCACTACTTCCAAAAGTGACCATGCCTGACTCCTCTTGAACATTGATACGAATCCCAATATCCTTGTAGCTACTGGAAAGGGACCCTGGGTATCCCACCTCACCTCGAGAAGCGTCCCTTTTGCCCTGCCATGCCTCAAATAGATTCCTGAGGTGTCCCTCGCAACTAGACAGGAATCCTGACGTCGCAGAACAAACACGAGTTTTGAATGGCCATCCCTGCCGTAACTCTAAAATACACCCCAGGTCCCTGCCGCAACTCGAGAAAAACCATCAGACTTTACCCTCGAAGGGAGATGAGGCCAGATTCCCCTGCATTGCAAGCAGCTCAATTCCGTGATCGCCATCAAACATGTAAGGAGCCTCGACTAGCTTGATGTATCTCTACACAGTCTGCAAGAACACTGTCACAAGCCTAGAGGCACACTGAGGTCACCCCAGCAACGTGAAGAAATTCCATGAACCCCAAATCAACTTGACATGCGGCCTGTTTCCCCTGCATTTACTACAGGGCCATCCCCCTTTCCCCACCAAAAAATACCACTTTCTTGACTTCCTTTAGGCAACTCCAGAGATTCCCCGAGGACCCCGTCCCAACTCTAAAGGAACACCAAGTTCAGCACAGCAACTTGAGGAATGCTCCGTGTACCCCAAATCATCTCGAGATGAGAGCTGATTCCCTGGCTTAGACTCAAGACATATGCCAAATTTGCACAAGCACCTCAAGATGTGGCTATTATCAGCAATAGTTAAGTGGGTGGGACCCTGAGTTTGCTGCCTCAAGTGGAATATACACCGAGAGACCCTCACTCGAAAGCAGGCCGGATTTCCTTTCAGTGCCTTGAATACAGTCTCGGCATTCATCTCCCAAGGTGAAGGGAAGTCTTAATCCCCGGTGGAGACCCTTGAAAAAGCCTTAGGACCCCGCCTCATTTCGATGGAATGCCTCACATCCCTTTGACACCTCGAGAGGCACGCGGAGTTCACAGCTTCAGAAATAGACGATGCCTGACTCCTGTTGAACATTGATAGGAATCCGAATATCTCTGTGGCGACTGGAATGGGACCCTGGGTCTACCGCCTCACTTAAAGAAGCGTTCCTTTTGCTGTGCCAAGCCTCGAAGATATTCCTGAGGTGTCCCTGGAAACTAGACAGGAGTCTTATGTCGCTGATAAACAAGAGTTTTGAAGGGCCATCCTCGCCGTAACCCGAGAATGTACTGCAGGTCCCTGCCGCAACTCGAGATAAACCATGACACTTCCCCCTCGAAGCGAGATGAGGCCCAATAACCCTGCATTGCACGCAGAGCATTTCCGTGATTCCATCAAACATGTAAAGAGCCTCGACTTACTTGTTGGATCTTGACACAGTCCCCCGAAACACTGTCACAAGTCTAGAGGGGCCTGAGGTCCCCCCAGCAACGAGAAGGAGCACCATGTACCCCAAGTCAACTAGAAATGAGGCCCGATTAACCTGCATTGACTCCAGAGACATCCCCCATTCCCCATCAAAGACAACCATTGGCTTGACTTCCTTTTGGTAACTCCAGACATTCCCCAAGAACACCGTCCCAAGTCTAGAGGAACACCATGTTCAGCACAGCAACTCGAGGAATACTCCGGGTACCACAAATCGTCTCGAGATGAGAGCTGATTCCCTGGCTTAGACACAAGACGTATGCCAACTTTCCACAAGCACCTCAAAGAGAGGCTTCTCTCAACTCTAGGTAAGTGGGAGGGACCCTGATTTTCCTGCCTCAAGTGGAATATACGAGAAGCCGTGACTCGAAAGGAGGCCGGATTTCTTTGCCATGGCTTGAATACAGGCTCGCCTTTCATCTCAGAAGATAAAGGGATGTCTGAATCCCCGGTGGAGACCCGAGAGAAAGACCTGGAGACCCGAGAGAAAGACCTAGGTCCCCGCCACATTTTAACATAATGCCTGACATACCTTTGACACCTCGAGAGGCACGCGGAGTACACCGCTTCATAAGGTGACAATGCCAGACTCCTTTTGTACATTAATAGGAATCCGAATATCCCTGTGGCTCCTGGAAAGGGGCCCTGGGTCTCCCGCCTCACCTCGAGAAGCGTCCCTTTTGCCCTGCCAAGCCTCGAGGAGATTACTGAGGTGTCCCTTGTAACTAGACAGGAGTCCTGACGTCGGTGACAAAACTCTAGTTTTGAAGGGACATAACCGCCGAAACTCGAGAATATACCCCAGGTCCCGGCCGCAACTCGAGAAAACCATGAGACCTCCCCCTCAAAGCTAGATGCGGGACGATTCCCCTACATTGCATGCAGAGCAGTTCCGTGACCCCCATCAAATATGTAAGGAGCCTCGACTTGCTTGATGGATTTCGAGAGAGTCCCGAAGAACACTGTCACAAGTCTAGAGCGACCCTGACGTCACCCAAGCAACGGGAAGGAGCTCCATGTACCCCAAATCAACACGAAATGAGGTCCGATTTCCCTGTATTGACTCCAGAGCCATCCCGTTCCCCATCAAACACGATCAGTGACTTGACTTCCCTCAGGCAACTCCAGAGATTCCCCGAGAAAAACGTCACAAGTCTAGAGGAACACCAAGTTCAGCACAACAACTCGAGGAATGCTCCGAGTACCCCACGTCGTCTCCACATGAGAACTGATTCCATGGCTAAGACTCAAGACATATGCCAACTTTCCACAAGAACTCAAGGGGAGGCTTCTCTCAACAATATGTATGTGGGAGAGACCCTGAGTTTGCTGCCTCAAGTGGAATATACACCGGGAAGCCCTGACTCGAAAGGAGGCCGGATTTCCTTGCAGTGGATTGAAAAGAGGCTCGTCTTTCATCTCACAAGATGAAGCGATGTGTGAGTCCCCCGTGGAGACCCTAGAGAAAGCCCAAGGTCCCCTCCTCATTGCGACGGAATGCCTCATATCTCTTTGACACCTCGAGAGGCAGCAGATTTCACTGCTACAGAAGGTGACGATGCCTGACTAGTCTTGAATATTGATAGGAATAACAATATCCCCGTGGTTGCTGGAAAGGGACCCTGGGTCTCCCGCTTCACATTGAGAAGAGTTCCATTTGCGCTGCCAAGCCTCGAAGAGATTTCTGACTTGTCCCTCGTAAATAGACAGGAGTCCTGACGATGCTGAACAAAAACGAGTTTTGAAGGGCCATCCCCGCCGTAACTCGAGAATATACCACAGGTCCATGCCGCAACTCGAGAAAAACCAGCAGACTTCCAACTCGAAGCGAGATGAGGCCCAATTACCCTGCATTCCATGCAGAGCAATTCCGTGATCCCCATCAAATATGTAAGGAGCCTCAAATTGCTTGATGGATCTTGAGACAGTCCCCAAGAAAACTGTCACAAGTCTAGAGGAATGCTGAGGACACCCCAGCATCGAGAAGTAGCTCCATGTTCCCAAAATCAACTTGAGATGAGGCCTGATTCCCCTGCATGGACTCCAGAGCCATCCCCCGGTCCCCATCAAACACGACCAGTGGCTTGGCTTCCTTTAGGCACCTCCAGAGATATCCCGAGAACACCGTTCCGTGTCTAGAGGAACACCAAGTTTAGCAGAGCAATTCGAAGAAGATGCCGAGTACCATATATCGACTCGAGATGAGAGCTGATTCCCTGGCTTAGACTCAAGACTTATGCCAACTTTCCACAGGCACCTCAAGAGGAGGCTTCTCTCAGCAATAGTGAAATGGGAGGGACCCTGAGTATGCTGCCTCAAGTGGAATATGCACCGAGAAGCCCTGACTCGAAAGGAGGCCGGATTTCCTTGCAGTGGCTTGAACACCGGCTCGTCTTTCATCGCAAAAGTTGAAGGGATGTCTGAATCCCCTGTGCAGACCCTAGAGTAAGCCCTAGGTCCCGCCTCATTTCCATGGAATGCCTCACATCCCTTTGACACCTTGAGAGGCCCGCAGAGATCACTGCTTCAAAGTTGACGATACCTGACTCCTCTTGAACATTGATAGGAATCCCAATATCCCTGCGGTATAGGAAAGGGACTGTGGGTCTCCCGTCACACCACAAGAAGCGTCTGTTTTGCCCTGCCAAGCCTCGAAGAGATTGCAGAGGTGTCCCTCGTAACGATATAGGAGTCCAAATGTCGATGTACAAACACGAGTTTTAAAGGGCCATCCCCGCCGTAACTTGAGAATATACCGCAGGTCCCCGCCTCAACACGAGAAAAACCGTGAGACGTCAACCTCGAAGCGAGATGTGGCCCAATTCCCCTCCATTGCATGCCGAGCAATTCCGTGATCCCCATCAAACATGTAAGGAGCCTCGACTTGCTTGATGGATCTCGAGACAGTCCCCAAGAACACTGTCACAAATCTCGAGGGACCCTGAGGTCACCCCAGCAATGCGAAGGAGTTCCATGTACCCAAAATCAACTCGAGATGAGTCCCAATTCCCCTGCATTGACCTCGGAGCCATCCCCCATTCCACATCAAACACGACCAGTGGCTTGAATTCCTTTAGGGAACTCCAGAGATTCCCCGAGAACACCGTCCGAATTCGAGAGGAACACCAAGTTCAGCACGGCAACTCGAGGAATGGTCCGTGTACACCAAATCGTCTCCAGATCAGAGCTGATTCCCTGCTTTAGACTCAAGACGTATGGCAACTTTATGCAATCATCTCAAGAGGAGGCTTCTCTCAGCAATAGGTATGTAGAAGGGACGCTGAGATTGCTGCCTCAATTGGAATAGGCAGGAAGAAGCTCTGACTCGAAAGGAGGCTGGATTTCCTTGCAGTGGCTTGAATATAGGCTTGTCTTTCATCTGACAAGATGAAGGGATGTCTGAATCCCCTGTGGAGACCCATGAGAAACCCTAGGTCCCCGCCTCATTTTGGCAGGATGCCTCACATCGCTTTGACACCTCGAGAAGCACGCGGAGATCACTGCTTCAAAAGGTGACAGTACCTGATTCTTCTTGAATATTGATAGGAATCCCAATAACCCTGTAGCTACAGGAAATGGACTGTGGGTCTCCCGTCGCACCACAAGAAGCGTCTGTTTTGCCCTGCCAAGCCTCAAAGATATTGCAGAGGTGTCCCTCGTAACGATATAGGAGTTCAAATATCGATGTACAAACACGAGTTTTAAGGGGCCATCACCACCGTAACTTGAGAATATACCACAGGTCCCGGCCGCAACACGAGAAAAACCATGAGACGTCAAACTCGAAGTGAGATGTGGCCCGATTCCCCTCCATTGCCTGCAGAGCAATTCCGTGATCCCCATCAAACATGTAAGGAGCCTCGATTTGCTTGATGGATCTCAAGACAGTCCCCAAGAACACTGTCACAAATCTCGAGGGACCCTGAGGTCACCCCAGCAATGCGAAGGAGCTCCATGTACCTAAAAACAACTCGAGATGAGTCCCAATTCCCCTGCATTGACCTCAGAGTCATCCCCCATTCCACATCAAACACGACCAGTGGCTTGAATTCCTTTAGGGAACTCCAGAGTTTCCCCGAGAACACCCTCCGAATTCTAGAGGAACACCAAGTTCAGCACGGTAACTCATGGAATGGTCCGTGTATATCAAATCGTCTACAGATCAGACCTGACTCCCTGCTTTAGACTCAAGACGTATGTCAACTTTCCACAATCATCTCACGAGGTGGCTTCTCTCAGCAATAGGTATGTAGGCGGGACGCTGAGATTGCTGCCTCAAGTGGAATAGGCAGCAAGAAGCTCTGACTCGAATGGAGGCCGGATTTCCTTGCAGTGGCTTGAATATAGGCTTGTCTTTCATCTGACAAGATGAAGGGATGTCTGAATTCCCTGTGGAGACCCTAGAGAAAGCCCTAGATCCCCGCCTCATTTCGACAGGAGGCCTCACAGCGCTTTGACCCCTCGAGAGGCATGTCGTGTTCACTGCTTCCAAAGGTGACCATGCCTGACTCCTCTTGAACATTGATACGAATCCCAATATCCTTGTAGCTACTGGAAAGGGACCCTGGGTATCCCACCTCACCTCGAGAAGCGTCCCTTTTGCCCTGCCATGCCTCCAATAGATTCCTGAGGTGTCCCTCGCAACTAGACAGGAATCCTGACGTCGCTGAACAAACACGAGTTTTGAATGGCCATCCCTGCCGTAACTCTAAAATACACCCCAGGTCCCTGCCGCAACTCGAGAAAAACCATCAGACTTTACCCTCGAAGGGAGATGAGGCCAGATTCCCCTGCATTGCAAGCAGCTCAATTCCGTGATCGCCATCAAACATGTAAGGAGCCTCGACTAGCTTGATGTATCTCTACACAGTCTGCAAGAACACTGTCACAAGCCTAGAGGCACACTGAGGTCACCCCAGCAACGTGAAGAAATTCCATGAACCCCAAATCAACTTGACATGCGGCCTGATTCCCCTGCATTTACTACAGGGCCATCCCCCTTTCCCCACCAAAAAATACCACTTTCTTGACTTCCTTTAGGCAACTCCAGAGATTCCCCGAGGACCCCGTCCCAACTCTAAAGGAACACCAAGTTCAGCACAGCAACTTGAGGAATGCTCCGTGTACCCCAAATCATCTCGAGATGAGAGCTGATTCCCTGGCTTAGACTCAAGACATATGCCAAATTTGCACAAGCACCTCAAGATGTGGCTATTATCAGCAATAGTTAAGTGGGTGGGACCCTGAGTTTGCTGCCTCAAGTGGAATATACACCGAGAGACCCTGACTCGAAAGCAGGCCGGATTTCCTTTCAGTGCCTTGAATACAGTCTCGGCATTCATCTCCCAAGGTGAAGGGAAGTCTTAATCCCCGGTGGAGACCCTTGAAAAAGCCTTAGGACCCCGCCTCATTTCGATGGAATGCCTCACATCCCTTTGACACCTCGAGAGGCACGCGGAGTTCACAGCTTCAGAAATAGACGATGCCTGACTCCTGTTGAACATTGATAGGAATCCGAATATCTCTGTGGCGACTGGAATGGGACCCTGGGTCTACCGCCTCACCTAAAGAAGCGTTCCTTTTGCTGTGCCAAGCCTCGAAGATATTCCTGAGGTGTCCCTGGAAACTAGACAGGAGTCTTATGTCGCTGATAAACAAGAGTTTTGAAGGGCCATCCTCGCCGTAACCCGAGAATGTACTGCAGGTCCCTGCCGCAACTCGAGAAAAACCATGACACTTCCCCCTCGAAGCGAGATGAGGCCCAATAACCCTGCATTGCACGCAGAGCATTTCCGTGATTCCATCAAACATGTAAAGAGCCTCGACTTACTTGTTGGATCTTGACACAGTCCCCCGAAACACTGTCACAAGTCTAGAGGGGCCTGAGGTCCCCCCAGCAACGCGAAGGAGCACCATGTACCCCAAATCAACTAGAAATGAGGCCCGATTAACCTGCATTGACTCCAGAGACATCCCCCGTTCCCCATCAAAGACAACCATTGGCTTGACTTCCCTTTGGTAACTCCAGACATTCCCCAAGAACACCGTCCCAAGTCTAGAGGAACACCATGTTCAGCACAGCAACTCGAGGAATACTCCGGGTACCACAAATCGTCTCGAGATGAGAGCTGATTCCCTGGCTTAGACACAAGACGTATGCCAACTTTCCACAAGCACCTCAAAAAGAGGCTTCTCTCAACTCTAGGTAAGTGGGAGGGACCCTGATTTTCCTGCCTCAAGTGGAATATACGAGAAGCCGTGACTCTAAAGGAGGCCGGATTTCTTTGCCATGGCTTGAATACAGGCTCGCCTTTCATCTCAGAAGATAAAGGGATGTCTGAATCCCCGGTGGAGACCCGAGAGAAAGACCTGGAGACCCGAGAGAAAGACCTAGGTCCCCGCCACATTTTAACATAATGCCTGACATACCTTTGACACCTCGAGAGGCACGCGGCGTACACCGCTTCATAAGGTGACAATGCCTGACTCCTTTTGTACATTAATAGGAATCCGAATATCCCTGTGGCTCCTGGAAAGGGGCCCTGGGTCTCCCGCCTCACCTCGAGAAGCATCCCTTTTGCCCTGCCAAGCCTCGAGGAGATTATTGAGGTGTCCCTTGTAACTAGACAGGAGTCCTGACGTCGCTGACAAAACTCTAGTTTTGAAGGGACATAACCGCCGAAACTCGAGAATATCCCCCAGGTCCCGGCCGCAACTCGAGGAAAACCATGAGACCTCCCCCTCGAAGCGAGATGCGGGCAGATTCCCCTGCATTGCATGCAGAGCAGTTCCGTGACCCCCATCAAATATGTAAGGAGCCTCGACTTGCTTGATGGATTTCGAGAGAGTCCCGAAGAACACTGTCACAAGTCTAGAGCGACCCTGACGTCACCCAAGTAATGGGAAGGAGCTCCATGTACCCCAAATCAACTCGAAATGAGGTCCGATTTCCCTGTATTGACTCCAGAGCCATCCCCCGTTCCCCATCAAACACGATCAGTGGCTTGACTTCCCTCAGGCAACTCCAGAGATTCCCCGAGAAAAACGTCACAAGTCTAGAGGAACACCAAGTTCAGCACAACAACTCGAGGAATGCTCCGAGTACCCCACGTCGTCTCCACATGAGAGCTGATTCCATGGCTAAGACTCAAGACATATGCCAACTTTCCACAAGAACTCAAGGGGAGGCTTCTCTCAGCAATATGTATGTGGGAGAGACCCTGAGTTTGCTGCCTCAAGTGGAATATACACCGGGAAGCCCTGACTCGAAAGGAGGCCGGATTTCCTTGCAGGGGATTGAAAACAGGCTCGTCTTTCATCTCACAAGATGAAGCGATGTGTGAGTCCCCCGTGGAGACCCTAGAGAAAGCCCAAGGTCCCCTCCTCATTGCGACGGAATGCCTCATATCTCTTTGACACCTCGAGAGGCAGCGGACTTCACTGCTACAGAAGGTGACGATGCCTGACTAGTCTTGAACATTGATAGGAATAACAATATCCCCGTGGCTGCTGGAAAGGGACCCTGGGTCTCCCGCTTCACATTGAGAAGAGTTCCATTTGCCCTGCCAAGCCTCGAAGAGATTTCTGACTTGGCCCTCGTAAATAGACAGGAGTCCTGACGATGCTGAACAAAAACGAGTTTTGAAGGGCCATCCCCGCCGTAACTCGAGAATATACCACAGGTCCATGCCGCAACTCGAGAAAAACCAGCAGACTTCCAACTCGAAGCGAGATGAGGCCCAATTACCCTGCATTCCATGCAGAGCAATTCCGTGATCCCCATCAAATATGTAAGGAGCCTCAAATTGCTTGATGGATCTTGAGACAGTCCCCAAGAAAACTGTCACAAGTCTAGAGGAACGCTGAGGACACCCCAGCATCGAGAAGTAGCTCCATGTTCCCCAAATCAACTTGAGATGAGGCCTGATTCCACTGCATGGACTCCAGAGCCATCCCCCGGTCCCCATCAAACACGACCAGTGGCTTGGCTTCCTTTAGGCAACTCCAGAGATACACCGAGAACACCGTTCCGTGTCTAGAGGAACACCAAGTTTAGCAGAGCAATTCGAAGAAGATGCCGAGTACCATATATCGACTCGAGATGAGAGCTGATTCCCTGGCTTAGACTCAAGACTTATGCCAACTTTCCACAGGCACCTCAAGAGGAGGCTTCTCTCAGCAATAGTTAAATGGGAGGGACCCTGAGTATGCTGCCTCAAGTGGAATATGCACCGAGAAGCCCTGACTCGAAAGGAGGCCGGATTTCCTTGCAGTGGCTTGAACACCGGCTCGTCTTTCATCGCAAAAGTTGAAGGGATGTCTGAATCCCCTGTGCAGACCCTAGAGTAAGCCCTAGGTCCCGCCTCATTTCCATGGAATTCCTCACATCCCTTTGACACCTTGAGAGGCCCGCAGAGATCACTGCTTCAAAGTTGACGATACCTGACTCCTCTTGAACATTGATAGGAATCCCAATATCCCTGTGGTATAGGAAAGGGACTGTGGGTCTCCCGTCACACCACAAGAAGCGTCTGTTTTGCCCTGCCAAGCCTCGAAGAGATTGCAGAGGTGTCCCTCGTAACGATATAGGAGTCCAAATGTCGATGTACAAACACGAGTTTTAAAGGGCCATCCCCGCCGTAACTTGAGAATATACCGCAGGTCCCCGCCTCAACACGAGAAAAACCATGAGACGTCAACCTCGAAGCGAGATGTGGCCCAATTCCCCTCCATTGCATGCCGAGCAATTCCGTGATCCCCATCAAACATGTAAGGAGCCTCGACTTGCTTGATGGATCTCGAGACAGTCCCCAAGAACACTGTCACAAATCTCGAGGGACCCTGAGGTCACCCCAGCAATGTGAAGGAGTTCCATGTACCCAAAATCAACTCGAGATGAGTCCCAATTCCCCTGCATTGACCTCGGAGCCATCCCCCATTCCACATCAAACACGACCAGTGGCTTGAATTCCTTTAGGGAACTCCAGAGATTCCCCGAGAACACCGTCCGAATTCGAGAGGAACACCAAGTTCAGCACGGCAACTCGAGGAATGGTCCGTGTACACCAAATCGTCTCCAGATCAGAGCTGATTCCCTGCTTTAGACTCAAGACGTATGGCAACTTTATACAATCATCTCAAGAGGAGGCTTCTCTCAGCAATAGGTATGTAGAAGGGACGCTGAGATTGCTGCCTCAATTGGAATAGGCAGCAAGAAGCTCTGACTCGAAAGGAGGCTGGATTTCCTTGCAGTGGCTTGAATATAGGCTTGTCTTTCATCTGACAAGATGAAGGGATGTCTGAATCCCCTGTGGAGACCCATGAGAAACCCTAGGTCCCCGCCTCATTTTGGCAGGATGCCTCACATCGCTTTGACACCTCGAGAAGCACGCGGAGATCACTGCTTCACTAGGTGACGGTACCTGATTCTTCTTGAATATTGATAGGAATCCCAATAACCCTGTAGCTACAGGAAATGGACTGTGGGTCTCCCGTCGCACCACAAGAAGCGTCTGTTTTGCCCTGCCAAGCCTCGAAGATATTGCAGAGGTGTCCCTCGTAACGATATAGGAGTCCAAATATCGATGTACAAACACGAGTTTTAAGGGGCCATCACCGCCGTAACTTGAGAATATACCACAGGTCCCCGCCGCAACACGAGAAAAACCATGAGATGTCAAACTCGAAGTGAGATGTGGCCCGATTCCCCTCCATTGCATGCAGAGCAATTCCGTGATCCCCATCAAACATGTAAGGAGCCTCGATTTGCTTGATGGATCTCAAGACAATCCCCAAGAACACTGTCACAAATCTCGAGGGACCCTGAGGTCACCCCAGCAATGCGAAGGAGCTCCATGTACCTAAAAACAACTCGAGATGAGTCCCAATTCCCCTGCATTGACCTCGCAGTCATACCCCATTCCACATCAAACACGACCAGTGGCTTGAATTCCTTTAGGGAACTCCAGAGTTTCCCCGAGAACACCCTCCGAATTCTAGAGGAACACCAAGTTCAGCACGGTAACTCAAGGAATGGTCCGTGTATATCAAATCGTCTACAGATCAGACCTGACTCCCTGCTTTAGACTCAAGACGTATGTCAACTTTCCACAATCATCTCAAGAGGTGGCTTCTCTCAGCAATAGGTATGTAGGAGGGACGCTGAGATTGCTGCCTCAAGTGGAATAGGCAGCAAGAAGCTCTGACTCGAATGGAGGCCGGATTTCCTTGCAGTGGCTTGAATATAGGCTTGTCTTTCATCTGACAAGATGAAGGGATGTCTGAATTCCCTGTGGAGACCCTAGAGAAAGCCCTAGATCCCCGCCTCATTTCGACAGCAGGCCTCACAGCGCTTTGACCCCTCGAGAGGCATGTGGTGTTCACTGCTTCCAAAGGTGACCATGCCTGACTCCTCTTGAACATTGATACGAATCCCAATATCCTTGTAGCTACTGGAAAGGGACCCGGGTATCACACCTCACCTCGAGAAGCTTCCCTTTTGCCCTGCCATGCCTCAAATAGATTCCTGAGGTGTCCCTCGCAACTAGACAGGAATCCTGACGTCGCTGAACAAACACGAGTTTTGAATGGCCATCCCTGCCGTAACTCTAAAATACACCCCAGGTCCCTGCCGCAACTCGAGAAAAACCATCAGACTTTACCCTCGAAGGGAGATGAGGCCAGATTCCCCTGCATTGCAAGCAGCTCAATTCCGTGATCGCCATCAAACATGTAAGGAGCCTCGACTAGCTTGATGTATCTCTACACAGTCTGCAAGAACACTGTCACAAGCCTAGAGGCACACTGAGGTCACCCCAGCAACGTGAAGAAATTCCATGAACCCCAAATCAACTTGACATGCGGCCTGATTCCCCTGCATTTACTACAGGGCCATCCCCCTTTCCCCACCAAAAAATACCACTTTCTTGACTTCCTTTAGGCAACTCCAGAGATTCCCCGAGGACCCCGTCCCAACTCTAAAGGAACACCAAGTTCAGCACCGCAACTTGAGGAATGCTCCGTGTACCCCAAATCATCTCGAGATGAGAGCTGATTCCCTGGCTTAGACTCAAGACATATGCCAAATTTGCACAAGCACCTCAAGATGTGGCTATTATCAGCAATAGTTAAGTGGGTGGGACCCTGAGTTTGCTGCCTCAAGTGGAATATACACCGAGAGACCCTCACTCGAAAGCAGGCCGGATTTCCTTTCAGTGCCTTGAATACAGTCTCGGCATTCATCTCCCAAGGTGAAGGGAAGTCTTAATCCCCGGTGGAGACCCTTGAAAAAGCCTTAGGACCCCGCCTCATTTCGATGGAATGCCTCACATCCCTTTGACACCTCGAGAGGCACGCGGAGTTCACAGCTTCAGAAATAGACGATGCCTGACTCCTGTTGAACATTGATAGGAATCCGAATATCTCTGTGGCGACTGGAATGGGACCCTGGGTCTACCGCCTCACCTAAAGAAGCGTTCCTTTTGCTGTGCCAAGCCTCGAAGATATTCCTGAGGTGTCCCTGGAAACTAGACAGGAGTCTTATGTCGCTGATAAACAAGAGTTTTGAAGGGCCATCCTCGCCGTAACCCGAGAATGTACTGCAGGTCCCTGCCGCAACTCGAGAAAAACCATGACACTTCCCCCTCGAAGCGAGATGAGGCCCAATAACCCTGCATTGCACGCAGAGCATTTCCGTGATTCCATCAAACATGTAAAGAGCCTCGACTTACTTGTTGGATCTTGACACAGTCCCCCGAAACACTGTCACAAGTCTAGAGGGGCCTGAGGTCCCCCCAGCAACGCGAAGGAGCACCATGTACCCCAAATCAACTAGAAATGAGGCCCGATTAACCTGCATTGACTCCAGAGACATCCCCCGTTCCCCATCAAAGACAACCATTGGCTTGACTTCCCTTTGGTAACTCCAGACATTCCCCAAGAACACCGTCCCAAGTCTAGAGGAACACCATGTTCAGCACAGCAACTCGAGGAATACTCCGGGTACCACAGATCGTCTCGAGATGAGAGCTGATTCCCTGGCTTAGACACAAGACGTATGCCAACTTTCCACAAGCACCTCAAAAAGAGGCTTCTCTCAACTCTAGGTAAGTGGGAGGGACCCTGATTTTCCTGCCTCAAGTGGAATATACGAGAAGCCGTGACTCGAAAGGAGGCCGGATTTCTTTGCCATGGCTTGAATACAGGCTCGCCTTTCATCTCAGAAGATAAAGGGATGTCTGAATCCCCGGTGGAGACCCGAGAGAAAGACCTGGAGACCCGAGAGTAAGACCTAGGTCCCCGCCACATTTTAACATAATGCCTGACATACCTTTGACACCTCGAGAGGCACGCGGAGTACACCGCTTCATAAGGTGACAATGCCTGACTCCTTTTGTACATTAATAGGAATCCGAATATCCCTGTGGCTCCTGGAAAGGGGCCCTGGGTCTCCCGCCTCACCTCGAGAAGCGTCCCTTTTGCCCTGCCAAGCCTCGAGGAGATTATTGAGGTGTCCCTTGTAACTAGACAGGAGTCCTGACGTCGCTGACAAAACTCTAGTTTTGAAGGGACATAACCGCCGAAACTCGAGAATATACCCCAGGTCCCGGCCGCAACTCGAGAAAAACCATGAGACCTCCACCTCGAAGCGAGATGCGGGCAGATTCCCCTGCATTGCATGCAGAGCAGTTCCGTGACCCCCATAAAATATGTAAGGAGCCTCGACTTGCTTGATGGATTTCGAGAGAGTCCCAAAGAACACTGTCACAAGTCTAGAGCGACCCTGACGTCACCCAAGCAATGGGCAGGAGCTCCATGTACCCCAAATCAACTCGAAATGAGGTCCGATTTCCCTGTATTGACTCCAGAGCCATCCCCCGTTCCCCATCAAACACGATCAGTGGCTTGACTTCCCTCAGGCAACTCCAGAGATTCCCCGAGAAAAACGTCACAAGTCTAGAGGAACACCAAGTTCAGCACAACAACTCGAGGAATGCTCCGAGTACCCCACGTCGTCTCCACATGAGAGCTGATTCCATGGCTAAGACTCAAGACATATGCCAACTTTCCACAAGAACTCAAGGGGAGGCTTCTCTCAGCAATATGTATGTGGGAGAGACCCTGAGTTTGCTGCCTCAAGTGGAATATACACCGGGAAGCCCTGACTCGAAAGGAGGCCAGATTTCCTTGCAGGGGATTGAAAACAGGCTCGTCTTTCATCTCACAAGATGAAGCGATGTGTGAGTCCCCCGTGGAGACCCTAGAGAAAGCCCAAGGTCCCCTCCTCATTGCGACGGAATGCCTCATATCTCTTTGACACCTCGAGAGGCAGCGGGTTTCACTGCTACAGAAGGTGACGATGCCTGACTAGTCTTGAACATTGATAGGAATAACAATATCCCCGTGGCTGCTGTAAAGGGACCCTGGGTCTCCCGCTTCACATTGAGAAGAGTTCCATTTGCCCTGCCAAGCCTCGAAGAGATTTCTGACTTGTCCCTCATAAATAGACAGGAGTCCTGACGATGCTGAACAAAAACGAGTTTTGAAGGGCCATCCCCGCCGTAACTCGAGAATATACCACAGGTCCATGCCGCAACTCGAGAAAAACCAGCAGACTTCCAACTCGAAGCGAGATGAGGCCCATTTACCCTGCATTCCATGCAGAGCAATTCCGTGATCCCCATCAAATATGTAAGGAGCCTCAAATTGCTTGATGGATCTTGAGACAGTCCCCAAGAAAACTGTCACAAGTCTAGAGGAACGCTGAGGACACCCCAGCATCGAGAAGTAGCTCCATGTTCCCCAAATCAACTTGAGATGAGGCCTGATTCCCCTGCATGGACTCCAGAGCCATCCCCCGGTCCCCATCAAACACGACCAGTGGCTTGGCTTCCTTTAGGCAACTCCAGAGATACCCCGAGAACACCGTTCCGTGTCTAGAGGAACACCAAGTTTAGCAGAGCAATTCGAAGAAGATGCCGAGTACCATATATCGACTCGAGATGAGAGCTGATTCCCTGGCTTAGACTCAAGACTTATGCCAACTTTCCACAGGCACCTCAAGAGGAGGCTTCTCTCAGCAATAGTGAAATGGGAGGGACCCTGA